GAGAGAAATAGTTTATGATCAGCACAAAGACTGAGCAGTCTCTCTCCATTGTCTGAGCGAACATCATCATATCCATACGGTCCTCCGAGGTGGCGCTCACATGGCAGCAGACGACCGACACGCGCGTTGAAGTCACCTGCCAAAACAATGATGTCTGTTTTAGGAGCCCTTAGGAGCAGCTCATGAAGGTTCTGGTAGAACTGGTCTTTGACGATGTCTGAGCTACAGTCAGTGGGCGCGTAGGCAGAGATCACGAAGAGAGCACGCTTTTCGACTCGACGTCTGCTGACCTTACAAGAGCCATGGAGCCTCATCGCACAAAGGCGGCTATTGATCGGAATCCAATCAATCAAAGCAGTCTCGGCTCTAGCACTGAGGGCGATTCCAACACCAGCTTGCCCAGATGCGGCAGACTCGGCGTCACCAGAGGGGCGGCGATGTAACCGGGTGCGTGGGTGGAGCGGTGACACCAGCTGGTAGACCGAGTTAGAGTCCTGGAGTCGTGTTTCAGTCAGGCAGCAGATATCAATTCCAAGGGTCTCTAGCGTGCGTGCAACTCCAGCTTGCTGACCGATCTGCAGTAATGTGCGTACGTTAAAGGCTGCAAGTTTGAACTGCGTTCCGGGTTGCAGGAGCGAAGATGGGCGACTTTGGGGCCGGCAACTCTCCGTTGAGTACTGTGTGGTTGAGTTGGTAGATGTCACGGGAACAGGTTCATCAGTGTAGGTGGTATTGATCGTTGTAGAGGAATCAAGTAAAAATGGGTGTGAATGGTACACGGGAAGAGTAGGTAAAATGGTGGCGTGTGCTTGTGCAGTTGGCATAGTAACATGAGTGAATAGCATGGTAACAGCAAGACAGCGGGTGAATGGTTGTGTTGTAAGTCCATGGTTCGTCAGTGGGCGAGATACTACCCGGTTGCCCAGGCCGAAGTAGAGGGTTGTCTTAGGGGGCCCCACCCCGAGCCTTTGATCAAGGATCTAACCTACAAGGCAGCAGGGCGATATGAGGGTATCGCAACCCGTTGGGAGCCGGTGACCGAACAAATGGTTCATACGCATTTAGGACCGCATAGGACCAGGGGCCCAACGCACCCTTGAATTACAATGCCACTCAGAGAGAGGCAAGGGCAGTGACTTTATTTAGTGGCGAGTCACATCCGCCACGTCACAGTGTTGTTAAGCGGACATATGTGGCTTTTTATAGGGAGAACGCTTGCCAGGCGAAAACCCACCACGTCCTGGAACACTGCCGCCGAACCATTCGCTGGAACAGGATGATCCCGAACCACCCAGCTGGCACCACGAGGTTGTTCGGCAAGCCAGCCCATGATATGTAATTAAAATGGAAACAAGCAAGAAGTGCGTTAAACTAATCGGAATAGAACGCAAATTAACAACCAGATGCAAGAAACCGAATACAAGGAGGTCACTGGACAGCATTAATGACTGAACACTACTCGCCAACAGCTCCTTATACTGCCGTACTGTCCCGCTACTCTGATGGTGTTCTGAATCTACGACAAATAGATCAACAGACTGCACTCGCACCCACGTTAGACACGATGGGTATTGACGTGCGTTTTGTGTCCGTTACTGCAATCGCTGATGCACACGGGATTGTTGAATTAATTGCACTCGGTTCATCCTCTCGCTCTCGGTTACCCTCATCCGATGACACTGATGCGGTAACCAGGACGTGACTGTATAGACCACATATTCATCCTGCGGCAGATGCTAGAGCACCGCCACACGTATCGTAGACCAACAATAGCTGTGTTCATCGACTTCCAGCATGCGTTCGATTCAGTCGATTGATGTATTCTGTTCGAAATACTTGTGCGATAAGATGTTCGCATGAAATATGCGAACATTTTACGTGCTCTGTACTCGAACACCACAGGCTGCGTAACCGTCTACGGTGATTTGTCGGGTGACTTTCCGACATCAAGTGGCATTCGTCAGAGTTACCCAATTATCCTATTTTTGTTCAGCTTCGTCATGGACTGCATCATGGAATGTTCCCTTGCGGAGCCTTACGATACAGGCGTTCAGGTGCTGCCTGATGAAATGCCAGTTGATCTTGATTATTCGGACGATATGATTTTGCTTTTTAACGATGTTGGGGCACGCAATAAACCCCGAATAACCTCTAGTGTTCCCAAAATTTGACATGCGCTTCCCACCTTCAAAGTGTAAAGTACAGGACCACTTGATGTCGAGGAACTCGAGGTGGTTGTTCATTCTACTTTCTTTGGTAGCTGTATCCACAACGATGTGCGCGTAGCAACTTTAGTCAGTTCACGCGTTGGAAGTGCTAGATCTGCCTTTTTGCGTCTGTGGCGTCGGAAAGGAGTTACTCGCTGTCTAAAAGGCCATGTTTACAAGGCCATAGGGACGGCCATCCTAGTGCATGGAAGCGGGACTTGGCCCCTCCGATCTGAGCACCTGCGGCGCATTCAACTCTCTGACCATCATTGTCTGCGAAACGTTGTTAATGTCCTCAACGATGATGTTCGTAAGTTTGTATTAGGCCGTGGTACCCAAGCTAGTTCCTTAGGACAACAGATGGCACTGAATAAGTTGTTGGCTTGAGTACGTACCACGTATGCTTGGTCACGGCTTACCGAGAAGGGCCTTGTTTTGTTTTCCAAATGTAGGGTGGCGCAAGGCCTGAGGTGGGCAAAAGTTAACTTGGCAGCGGAGAATGAAGTCACTGACGACTCAACTCGGTGCTGTCGTCTTACTTACCAGGCTGGAGTCCGCGTGCCCCGCTTTTTGTTTGGCTCCAGACGTTACAGGACATGGCTCGCATTGGGCACCAGTAGCGTGTCTGCTGTCGTCTCTTAGTCAGGTTGCCTATTTAAAGTGTGTTTGGTACTGGGTTATCTGCGGGCTAATGGCTGATTATGGCGCGGAGCAGACCTCAGTGTCGTTTGTGCTGTGAGTTTCTTTGTCCCACCCCATCCCCCTAGGCTCCCCTCCCAACCGCGATCTCACTATTTAGCCTTATATAATTTTGCATAGTATTTTTTGATACACAGTAGCCGGCTGGTAGCTTATCAGAATGATGCCCATCCGTTACCGGTAGCTCAGCTGGCTTGCACCAGTTGCTTTTCTCTCTTTTTTTTCTTCTATGTATTGCGGCACAATAGCTGAGATGTTTTCCACCTCTAGCTAACGTGTATAATGATGCTGATGATGAGGCAGTGAAAACCACAAGCAACCTGTCTCGTCGATGCCTCCTCATCTTTGCACGATGGCCAGCTGTTTGTGATGTGAACTTGTTGACAAGATGTAGGGCCCTTGGCCACGAGTGTTTCTTTATGGCAAGGATATCCAAAGTCCGGCCCGCGGGCCAAATGCGGCCTGCGTTATCATTTCAACTGTACCGCGGCCTCATCACGAAATAACAAACTCTGTCTTGGACTTTTTTCGTACATGTGTGCTTTTTGTATTTATCCTAATCTCAGACTGAATATGGCTCGATATATTTTTTCCTCACAGAAGGTGTGGACACACCTGGTTTTGGGCATTAAGGTTTTCAGGTCGATCCCCTTTCTTTCCCTCTCTCTCACTCTTGTTGTGCCACAGCGAATCATCAATTCTAATGGCTGAAGTTCTGCTCTTGACGATGATGACGACTGCGTGTCTTGCGAGCCGCTCATACCTGGCAGATCAATGGTTAGGGGTCAGACTAATTCAGTCTCGTAATCCAATCTTTCTTGGAGGTTAGGAAGTGGTCGATGACCCTTTTGCTTTAAAACCTAGCCATGTGAGACAATGGATCCACGAGTTATAAATTCACACCCGATTGGCCTAGATGACTAGCGCCACGCAGTCTATGACGGTGGGAAGGCACTTGGTTTGTTACCGCCCGCCTCTATCCGGACAGCCTCTGCTCCAATTGGTGTAAACCCGCCAACTCCCACCTCTGGGGTTGTACGTGATGATCATCACCGTGAATACACCTTAGCTGAAAGTGAGAAACCCCTCAGCTAATGTGCCGCAATACAAAGAGATAAGATGCTAAAAAATATAAACTACAGAATAATTCCAAAGCAAATAACATATATTGTCAAATATTATATTATGCATTTCGCATGAGATCGGAATTGGAGGGGGAATCTATATGGGGAGGGTTTGAACAAAGGAACTCACAACACAAACGCCATTGGAGCCAGGTCTTCGCTATATTAGCAAATGTGTCCCACCAAACGTGTTCATGGTCCTTGGGACCCCAGTCAGGCAGTCGGAATGCACCAATCGTCGCCAGCTTTGAAGTGAGGATTATCATTTCTCTTGACCAAGTCATCGCTTGGCTTCCCCCTACCTCTTCATTCTGCACTCACGGCGCGCAAACAATGCACGTCTCGATCGAAGTCATTTGATTTTGTAGGTAGTGTCTACGTACTTGGACTGCCGAAAATCGCAATGCTTCTGGACAGTTTCACAACAAATATTGCGTTTAACTACGGTTTACCTGTAGTGGAATATAATGAATGCCCAGAGAAAGTCGGATTATGCCTTGAGGAGCTTGGAACGTTAACTTCGAGAATATGCATTTATTTATTTATTTGAACACACGTTCACAAACAGCTAACCAACATGTGGTGGTAAGACAACATCGGCAAAACAGCTTCTTTGTTTTTTTCCACGCCAGGTCTGAGGATATGTTGTGCACTCAAATTTACTCCTGGTCATTTCCCTTAATGTGACATTTCTTCTTTGCCCCGTGGTCCTCGGGATCTGATATTTGGGTCAACAAATCGGACTTCATCATTTGCGATTCAAAACTGTACATGCGCCTGTGGAAATTTTAACATTTTCCGGCATCGCATGATCCTCGCAGTTCTCTTGGAGTATTGCGCGGCTATCTTGTTAAAGCGGTCACATTTAGTGAAACATCACTACATGCTACTCTTAAAGTTTATCACAACATCTAATTATTTTTTTCCGTGAAACTCTACGGTTCCTTTCTTTCTGATTCTTTCTTTCCAGGGACTCAGTCTCACTACAACCCACCGTTCAACCTCCTTTCGCATTTCAACTGGACATGGAACCGCTGGTTGTCTTGTCCAGAGTCGATCAGGATGTGTTGTTTCGACGACCCCGGCGCGGGCAGAAGTTGTGTAAGTTGGCTGTGGACGCAAAAACGCGTTTAAGCATGAGCGATATACGTTGGAACATGGAACATGGTGACGAGACCATGGTCGCCCTCAGTAGCCGTCTGGCTGAGCCATCTAGTCGCACACAAACTCGCTATTTGTTATCCCGGTGTGTCCCGCGTCTGTTCGCCGTCCCCGCCACTTTGGGAACTGCTTTGAGTTCAACTTTATGTGAGGTGAGTCGCATTTCTGTCCATATAACCAGCTATCTGACCGTCCTCTTCCTTCACCTATCAACCTTTACATGACTCCAAATTGAGTTTTGTATAACTACAGATGCTTTGAACCAGTTAGCAAGGTCCATCTTTTCCATCAGCATTTTCCCTTTACGCCTTTAGTTGTACTAGCCATGATCACCGCATTCCAATCAACTGTGAAGTGCTCTGACGATTGTGGCGTTCCGATGAAATAGTGATTTCCGGATGAACATCATTCTCATCAGATACTTTATGACTAGCTACTGTAGTTGATCCATCGCGCACCTCAGACATTAGTGTACAAGAGCTACCATAAAGAGTTGCTGGACGTCGTGATCCACTGCACATAGATAATTCGATTCACCTTGGTAAAGTGACGTCGTCCATCCCCGAAAGGGACAGAACTGGAGTCAACGTAGCTACCCATGTCGATATCGCTTTGTATACTGGATGAGTTTTCTGGACGGACAGCGACAGTACATCAGTGCTTCACAATGATACTCGTTGTTATACACCCATCATTATCCAGATAGTGTAATAACTGATAACAATAGGCGAGAATGTGGTCTCCGTATGAGTTACGTGCTCTATGTTAACGTTCGGGATGAAGACGCCTTCAGCTTGCTAATGGGCGATGACAAGAGAGTTGACCACCTTCAGTGCTCTCTTTAATTCATTATGGACGACAAGTCCCTTCGTCTTTTATGAAACCATTTACATTTTCTTTAGACTTTGCCACCTCCCATGTAATACATTTTGATTCTCCAACTGGCTCCGATAGTTCTCACTGGTCCATACGTTTCGAAAAGTTGGATTGGAAAGTTAGTTTCATGTGGATAATTCTGGATGTGCTTTATCGTATACTTACAGAAGCGCATCATGACTCGGTTCCGTGGTATCATTGCCGGTGTGAACTTATTTGAAACGCGTCATTCACCAGTAATTCACTATGGCCTTTTTTCTGCCAGCTGTCCTAGTTGTTTCGACTACTAGTCAGAAGGGAGTAAACACTCTTCACCGATAGTTTTCCACGCGCCAAATGTCTACTTAAACTCTGATCGGTACGGCCTAATGAATATTGTACACGTGAGCTGAGGCTAGTGACGAAACAGGTAACCTCGCACAACTTCACCGAGGCCCGGAAAAGAAAGACTGATCAATGGCAAGAGTTCGTTTACTGACTACCAAAGGCAAAGCATGCTTTACACATCTCCGTATTTAGCTATGCCAGCTCCGCAACAGATGGTTAACCTGAGATCGCCGACACACAACTGGCGTAGTAGCTACCAACAACTAATCTTGTTGGGCCGTAACAAGAAGCAAACTTAAAACAAATAAATTGTCTACAAACAAAGCTGCTGCTTTTATAAGTTACGCGATTATTATTATTATTTTTACATCCTTATTATTATTATTATTATTATTTGACACTTGACCAATATACAATTGACATTGCCACAACACATGGTTAACAACAACAAAAGGTAGAAAACAGGAAGTCAGTGGAAGGGTTAAGAGGGTTTAGTATATATATATATACATATATATATATATATATATATATATATTTGCAAGTCTACGAATAGACATAATGCCATCAGAAACCATGGGATTCAAACGAAGGTACAGAAATAGTAAAGTAAAACACAACACAACAACGTCCATGGTTTCCTCAGAGGGCGAGATACTACCCGGTTGCCCAAGCCGAAGTAGGGTGTTGACTTAGGGGACACCATCCCGAGCCTTTGGCTGAATAGCCTGTCCGCAAGGCAGCGGAGCGAATTCAGGGAATCGCGCCCATTGGGAGCCGGTGACTGATTGATCACTTCATACGCCTTTCGTTTGTTCCTTTGTCAAACAGGGGCCCAATGCTCCCCAGAAGTACAGCATGATGTTGCTGGAATACAATGCTTCGCCAGGATGAAGCAAGGGGCAGTGACTTTATTTAGTGGCGAGTCACGTCCGCCACGTCACAGTGTTGTTAAACGGACATATGTGGCTTTTTATAGGGAGAACGCTTGCCAGGCGAAAACCCACCACGTCCTGGAACACTGCCGCCGAACCATTTGCTGGAACGGGAAAATCCCAAACCACCCAGCTGGCACCACGAGGAGGTTGTTCGGCAAGCCAGCCAAGGGTTTAGTAGGTTATGTGTTGTGTGGACAGAGCGCTTCCCAGTTGCCAAGACCGAGGGAAAGGCTTGACTTAAGGAACTTCATCCCGAGTCTCACCCGCAAGGTAGCAGGGAGATTCACGAAACCCGTTGATAGCCCGGTGGCTCATTTGCCCTCTTTGTGTTCTGTAGCAGTCTACAGAGGAGCCGGTGGTCAGCAAGGCTGTTCATCCGCCCTCCGTTAAGTCCTCACCTCTGGTTACAGAAGTGAGTGCGTTACGCGATTGTCATCTAATTACCTGATCCTACACTGTACGGTCTTCACTCAAATGACACCGAACGACGAGTCTGCTCCATGATGGGATTCAGCCGTTTTTCGATTGATGTTCCCATATTGGTTCGCCGAACATCACACTGCCGTCCCGCAAATGGCGTGCCGAGAAAGCCGATTAGCAATCTTTCGAAAAATATTTCTTGACTAACATAAGCAGTTCAAGTTCAAGGTGATAACACAAACAACCGTACTACGATATTATTCATTCGGTGTTCTCACTAGGTGAACATGTCTACAGGCATCCGTGGTCAAAAACAGTCATAGACAATGTTTCCGATAACACTGACTGCACCGCTGCGTTTTAGGCTTCGTCTTTGTAGGTAGAATGACCGACGCTGCAATAGCGCCACTTCACATTGAGGATATTAAGAAATCTGTCCTCTTAGCTTGAGAAGTACTGCTTACATGAGGTGGGATCACCAGGCGGGCAACCTCGAAATTCATCATTTGGCGTTTTAGAAGAAACCTTCGGGTTGCGCACTGCAGTGTCTGCTGAACTTAGGTTGACCAGAGTTATTGCATCCGGATGCCTGTTGACCGCCTTCCTCGGTGTGCGTTATACTCCGTCGCTGCACCTAGCTGGGCGAAACTGTGAGAGGACATAAATGCGTAAACGAAGTAACCGAAAGGTCTTTTCAGACAGGTGCGTCCTGTCATCGTCTATGGGGGCCTCAGGACGATCCACATTAATGGTTGGTGACTTTGTCGAACATGGCACAGTCACGGAGTCTGCGGAGCATTCGGGTTTGTTGTCCCTAGGTGTAATATTCTGTTAATATTAATTTTACACCTTTAACCCCCCTTCCTTTACCTCATACTTGCATTCTACTTCTGTCTTTCTCACGATTGTAGTAATACTATATAACGGGTATGAAACCAAATGCTTGACAAATCCCGTAGTATGGTTAAGGTAAAAATTACAATATAAAATACAGTGTCGGTGAAAGATGCCCGAGATACTTGACTCACTAAGAGGTTTGGAGTGGCACAGGTGTGAATATTCCTGTCCAGAGTTTGAGAAGATTATGACACTGTCCACTGTTTGTTCGGCTCCAGTGCCATCATCTGATGATCATGGGCTATATTCTCTAGTGCAAATGTGTCAGGGTGTCGTCATTACATTTTTAAATAGGGATAAGGTAGGGGCTTTTATTACATACGCCGGAAGGGGGAGTTCCAGGGCTCTGACACCCGGAGGTAAAAAGCGTTTCGTCGACCGTCCAGATGTACTGTGTGGCCAACTTAAACTGTTGACCCCTCAGCTATTTGTTTTGACTGAGTTTCAAAAGACTGTGGCATGTGTGGTTGTGCTTTTTAGAATCTGATACACCGTTAAGAGATCGCCCCTTAGACGCCGATAGCGTCTGCTGTACATCGTGAGAGTTTTCAGCCTGAGTGGATAGAGAAGGCAGGACAAACTGACGTTCCTCGTCGCCCTGCGTTGTGCAGCATCGAGCGCGGTGAGGTGATGTTTCTGCCAGGGTCGCACAATTGGATGATGTATCCCACATGCAGCCTCATGCACGCACCATACATTTTCGGAAAGACTGTGGCATCAGACTTCCTGAACGCACTACCTAGTTGGCCGAAGTGCTGATTTGCTTTTTTTGAGGCCTGCTCCCAACAGCCAAAATCCTATAACACAATCCCGCGACATCGTACTAATGAGGCCCGCTGTAAAAGTATTGCATTTAACTGGTAATTATGAGTACCCATTGGTCTCTGCTGGAACCGAACTTCGAAGCGTCGAACTGGAGAATGTTCTATAGCATTTCCCGCACAGTTGCATAAAAAGTCCAAAATTTTGCAAACAAAGCGCAAAATATTGCATAAGTGCAAATTTGGTAAAGAAAGTACAAAATTTTGCAAAATCCTGTAGGATTCGCCAGCCGTTCTGAGCCAATCCTCGGACCTCAAGTGTGTTATTATTGGCCGGGTGCTAGGGTTTGAAACGTAAGTCAAGTGAAATGAGCGCACAGCCCATTGACTAGGTAAGAATTGAGAATGAACCTCGAGTCCATGGCGGTGCCACGAGCTACTACGCGCCCCGCTCACGTCCAAAACGCTGGAACGTAATTGGTCTGCGAACATTGAACGGTCGGAACATAAGCGTACGACTGAATGGATGTCTTTCCTTCCAGCGTGGTCAACACGCCTTCTCGTGTTCGACAGTGTATCTCGTCAGACATTCGTGACCGAGTTGTGGAGGCCTTCATCAACAGTGACGGCTGGCAGCTCGTGGCAACCGTGAACAATGTGAAATATCAAACTGCCTACTCCTCGATTCGTCGCTCTCTTGATCAGAAGCCGGATGCTACGCAGGCGCGCGGTCGTAAGCCCATTCTGGAGTGGATCGCGAAGGACGCAACTCTAACACTACACGAAATGCGAGCCCGAGTACGTGCCAATATGGATAAGAACATTTCAAAGTCTACAATCGCACGACACCTGGATGGCCGTTTGATAACTATGAAGAACACTTATCAGACTCCAGAAGGAATGAACAATGATCAACCAAAGAGATACGAAAGG